CGAAAATCTGCTAACTATTTTTCAATTTCTGCTTTTAGTATAACATTCGGCAAAATCTGCGGCTTTCTGCTTAAAGCCGGAAATCATCGTCCCTGTCTGCGCACTACTGTGCGTGTATATCTTGTTCTTCAGGATCCTCATTGAATTCTTTATTAGGCTTTTCGGTGAAGTGATCTATAATTGTTTGAATTTCCTCGTTGGTAAATTTCGAAATAGAGTTTGCGTTATATGATTTGATATATATGACCTTATTTAATATTATTTTTTCGCAAACCATCTCTTGAGTGCTAACACTGTATCTTGGCGGCAAGGCGCTTCGCTAGATCTTTTCTTATAAAGGATGTTAAATTGCTTCACGACTTCATCATATATTAAACCTTTCGCCTTCTTTTCACCAATTTTATTTTTATCACACAAGGCTTTCTCCTGGAATACAAATTTTTTTTCATAGTTATGCCAGCATAATATTTCTTCTTGATTTGCTTCTACTGTGATAAGTGCTTTATCACATAGCTGAGCCAAATGCTGAGATACTTCTATCATACTGGCTCCTTGGAATGAGGATTCTGGATTAGTAGCATCAGATTTCCGGGACCGCGCGGTCTCGGCAATTGTAGTCACGTGATTTTCGTTGGCATATTTTTTACTTGATTTAATTCTCTATAAAAAACATCTTTTGTTACATTTCTTTGTTCTTTGGACTTTTTTTTGGACTTTTTATATGGCACTTTTAAAATAATTAATTAAAAATTTATTAGAAGAAAGAAAAATGAGGTGATAAACGTTTAGCAAAAATAAATTCATAGCTTAATTTTTACAATACCGCATGATCAAAAACGTCAGAACGATAATACTCCCCCATCCAATAAATATTATATACAGTATATATGACAGTTAAAGTTGCTAATAAATTTATTAAAAATGTTCCTTCTATGTCAACATCATATAATAGCTTCTTTTTAATATACTTAACCACCATTATAGGCACCAGTATAACGGACTACTCATCAAAATATTGTCACGTCGACCCGCATTAAGATTTTTGCAGGCCCATATGCATAATCATGAATGTGCCGATCCTTAATGCTGGCCATTTCGTGACATTTTTTGATGGCGTTACTGCGGTCCTTACTACATATTGGCCTTTTAATAATAATGAAAGAATTTATTTTAATAACTTAAGGTAAATTTATTTAACCTATTAATAAATGAAAAAAAAATATTACAATAATCTATATACATTATAATACTCAGGTGATTAAAAAATTTTACATTTTAAATTCATATAATATTAACAAATAACGCATCTTTCTCCGAATAATGTTTCCAAGAAAGATGATAAATATTCTTTGGTGGGTTTATGACCAAATTCTACATATAAACAACCAACAGTTGGTTTATCTAAAATGCAATGAAATTGATATTTTTCCATAAGCTCAGCAATCGCAGGTTTTAATTTTGCAACACCATTTGAAGAATGTTTGCCACGACCAACAATAATAGTCAAATTGTCAATATTTTTTGCTTTGCAATACTGGATTTTTAATTCAGTTTTTAATAGAGCTTCTTTAACATATAGTCCATGAAGGTCAAGTTCATTAGGAGGTCTATTCTTATTATTCTCTAAAAAAAATTGTTGAGGGAGGTTAAGAATTTTATTAAAAAGGAAAAGAAAACTTAAAAATATTTTAGGTACAATACCGTTAAAAATTACTTCAGCAGCTTTCGAATTATATTGCTCCATTTTTTTACCATGTTCTTTTCCTTTTTGTGATAACTCTTTAGCTTTTAAGCCTTGACGAGATGTAAAAGCTGACTGAGATTGAGAGAAACAATCGTTACGAAGTTTTGCTTCATCTCCGGCAAGTTTACGATACCTTTGATAAGTAGCTTCCGCACTCTCAGATTCAAATTGATGAGATAATTCTTGCCCCATTCTTGATGGTTATAAAAGTTTATATACACTTATTTATTTATTTTTTTAAAAAAAAGGCAAGAATTTTTTATTCAGAAAAGGAAATCTAAAAAAAATAAAAAGGATTGTAAAGTTTTTTCCCCCTAAATCAAATTATTAATGGTGCATTTATACATTTTTTACAATGATTGTGAAATGTTTAAAATTCCCTTTTTATCAATTTCAGTATAATTATTTTTATTACACATACATGGAAATGCCTGAATAACAAAAAAATTTTTTTGTTGAACGCAAAATGAAGTTACAACAGTAAAAGTACACCAATGTCTCGAGCTTTTAGGCATGATAAAACAGCTGACCTTTATTTGGTATCTGTACAAAGGAATGAAAATCATCATTTTTTTTGTATAATTAAATTATAATTATGAGTAATAATTATCTATAAGTTATATCAAGTAAATTTAGTAAATTACGCTTTAGGTATGTGAAAAGTGCATCAATTATTAAAAAGGTATTTAAATTAAGATCTTTTATTATGGCTTACGTAAATCGCTCGGACTCTATAGTTTAATTAAAACAAGTAAAGAAAGTTGCAGGATTTCAACGATCAACCAAAAATATATAAATAAGGTTTGATTCATGGATACAATTTTTCGGAAATTTTAAAATCGGAAATTACCAGCTTTTCTTTAAGAATTACAAACAGGTTTTCTGTAATTATGTAATATACTGATACGCATCAATCCAATTATAAAACGGAGGAGACTTGATTTCACATTTCTATGTCGAGTCAGTTTCATCTACACGTAAAAAAGTGATTCCAAATTCAAAACGGAATTACGAAAAATTGTTTTAATATCCAGTGCTTTAAAAATTGGCGTAAAATCATAAAACATCTTTGTTCTTATGTTAAACAAAGAAATCAATAGTTGAGTTGAAACAAAATATATACTGTATGTTCCATTTATAGTTATGGTAATTGTCGATCTTAATTGCTTTTCAAACTCGCATTCGTATTATTAATGCATTTGAAAACTAATGCTTTTATACGGAAAAGTAATACAGTAATAGTACTCTTTTCTACGTCGTCTCCTCTCAAACGAGCACAACCACCGTTGTTCAAGCCTTTTATAGTTTAAGTGCTTAAATATGGTCACAACTTAAGAAATGAAACTAAAACGCAAGTTCTTTTAATGTACTGTATTTGTAATTTCAGTTTTATGCATTATAATGTTTAGCACTTATCAAACAAAGTCTAGATACCTATTTTAACTTATTACAAAAACTTTGATCAATAATTACAACCATTTCTTAAGCTACTATTTTTTAATTGAAAGGCTATAGAAATGCAAATTTCTGCAGTTTTATGAGTTTTATGTAAATTTTAAATTTTATAATAATAATGATTCTTTTAAAATCTAGTATTTTAAAATATATTAGAATCAAATTATCAATTTAAATGGTTAAATGTTGCATTATTTATAATTAAACAAATAAAAAGACAATTTTAATACCAATAATATCTGAAGCAATTTATAAAACATTTATTAGTTAGTTAATATTTTAAGCAAAATAACATAAAAATGGCTATTATAACAGATATATAGAATATATAGAATGCTTAGCATATTTAATTATTTATCTATTACACTTTATTGGATTAATAATAATTGAAATATATATAAATTGAGATTAAATATACAAATATTATATTAAAAGTAATTAAATTTTATAGTATTGATAAAATTATATTATAATAATAAAATAACTAATAATAGATCATAATATGATATGTTGTAATTCAATTAATCTGTAAAGAAATAAAATTATGCATATGAGAGGTTTGCTAGAAAAATGAAACTCTAAGTATTTTTTATTAAAATTTTAATTTTTATTGCATTTTAATTTAATATTATTAAAAATTAAAATGCAATAAAAATTAAAATATTAATAAAAAATTCTCAATAATTAATTAAAAACTTATTTTCAACCCATCATTTTCATCTAGTTGTGAAGTCATATCCACTATTTCAAATATAAGTTTATGTTGCTGAGCAGCATCTGTATTATCTGCTAAATTTAAAAAATTTGTGAATAATACCAATTGTTAAAAGAAAAATATTTCAAAGAAAATAACACTGTTACAGGTGATTATAACAAGAAAATATGGCTCAGTAAATGATTAACATGTTTCACAAAATTGATCTACTAGAAGATTTACAAAAACGATCTACAGAATTGATCTACTAGATGATCTGCAAATGATTTATACATGTAACGTTAGAAATGTTAAACAAATGTTACATAACTTATATATTTGATATATCTGACATATCTAACATAACTGATATTTCTGACATGTCTGACATATATGATATATCTAACATGTTCAACAAATAGGACATATTAGACAGGTCAAACATAATAAATATATTTGATTTATTAGACATGTATAATATATTAGTTTTATCTTTCTATGTAAATTATTTTATATAAATAAGA